TTTAGAAGCCTCCAGAATATGATCCTGATATACTTTAAATCTAACTGTCCCAAAACCCCCAGAATGACATTGTGTAAAGCAGTACCCACTTTCAATTCTTTAAATTTTTGCAAACTTCTAAAGGTATTTTATTTACATTATAATTTATTATTTTTATTTTAAATTTTATTAATTTTAATTAAACTTAAAAACTATAACAGAAAGAACACTATCAAAAATTTTAAAAAATTAAGGTAAGATTATGTATCAAATTAAACAACTAATATCAAATTTAGTTTGATTGAAAATAGATTAAGAGGAATTAAGGAGAAACTGGAACAGAATTTCAATATTACAAATGAAAAGGCTTTTTAAGAAGTAATTTTATAATTTGTAATTAATTTATAAATTTTTTATAATTTATTCTGACAAATTTTTATAATAGCAAACAATAAAGGAGACTGCTAAAGCTCTTATAGAATATTTAATTTACTCTAAAGAAGAATAATTTAAGTCAGCAACAGAGATCTATCTCCAGGCAAATCATTTTAAATTTTTTAGTAGAATGTTAACAAAAACTTGAAAATGTATTATGCAAAAAATATTAATAGACTTGTAAATATTTTTTATTTTAAATATATTCAAATATATTCAAATTTATTTGAATATTTGATTATATTATAATCTATTCAAATATATTCAAAAAATTAAAATTTATTAATTATTTTATTTTTAGCTTATAGAAAAGCACTAATTATTGTAAAGTTGTTTTTTGTATTTAAAGATCTTTTAAAATCTATTAACAATAAAGCTATTTCTAAAAAAGTTTTAGACTGGAAGTATTCAGATAAAACTAAGTTCTGTTATAAGTATCTTTTTGCAAAAATTGTAGATAATTCTGATGATACTTATATGTCTTAAATCTTGCAAAAAATTTGGCCTTCAGAAGATACAACTAATAAACAAGTTGTATATACTATTGCTATTTATTAAACAATTCTTGATTCAAATTATAAAAAAATAACAATTTCCAAGAGTATTATTAAAAATAAAATTGCAAAAAATTTATAAATATTTATTATTTATATTATTATTATATTTGAATTAGGAGATTGTTATTTTTACCATGGTTTTTTGTTATTTTCACTATAAGTTATACAAAAAGATAAAAAATTCTATTTTTAATAACCAATTAAATTTAATTTTAAAATTAAAGAAAATTTTATTAAGTTAAAATTTGTTGGGCTTCTAAGTAAAATTGTAGAGAAGACTTTTCTGGTTCTAATAGTAAGATATTTGGAGTTAAAGATGTAAATATAGAGATCTACAAATTGGTGGTTATACAAAATACTAAAAACTATAATATTTTGTATAACTATTATTTTGCAGATCCTTATATTCACGTCTTTAACCCAAAATATCTTGGAATCTACTAAGCTAATTTTGATAGTCTAATCACTATTAGAACCAGAAAAGTTTTCTTTACAACTTTATTTAGAAACTCAACAAACTCTAACTCTATAAAAATTTCTTTAATTTTAAAAAAAATTAATTTTCTTTATATTTGCATCTTTAACCCTAATTATCTTGGGATCTACAAGCCAATTTTGATAATCTAACTACTATTAGAACCAAAAAAGTCTCATCTATAACTTTATTTAGAAGCCCAATAAACCTTAATTTAATAAAATTTTCTTTAATTTTAAAAAAATCAATTTTTTAAATTTAATTAGTTGTTAAAAATAGAATTTTATATATTTTTTTGTGTAATTTATAGTGAAAATAACAAAAAATTATGGTGAAAATAACAATTCTCTTGAATTATTTTAAATATAATAGTGTATTTTAGAAAATAGCAAATCTTTTTTCTTATTTTATTTTGAAAAAGAAACTTCTAGCTTTGAAGAAACTAAAGATTCAAAAGAACTTGATTTAGATGAAAATATTTTAAAAGAATCTAAAAAGGTATAAATTATCATAAATTCTATTAATTTTAAAATACTATTATATATTAAAATAATTTTATAATTTATTAACTTTAAAATATTTATTTTTTAATTTAAATACATCTTTTATAGACAGGTGGTAATAAATGTAAATATACTGCGTAAATATTCGAAAAAGTAAGTTCATATTTTACAAATGAAAATAAATCTTTTTATTTTTTATTAAATAAAATAAAAAAATAATTTTTTAGTCAAGAAAAAGACCAAGAGATATTAAGAATGTATCTAATTATACAATTAACAAGATTTATAAATATTTTAAATATTTTGAAAATAATTAAATATAAGGTGAGTATGAGTATTATAGTGCAGTTAAATATACCAATAAGAAAACTTCTTCAAATTGTCTTAAACTTTTATTAAATTATATTGAAATAGGTATATTTTAACTTGAAATATAAGTTTTTTAAAAAAAAATTTTTTTTTATTAGAAAAAAAAACTTTTTATAAGATACAAAAAATTCTTTCAAAAATCGAGATTTTCAAGATAATGACCAAAAATGATGCATATAGATAATCAGATAGATCCTTTTTTTTTAATTACTTTTTTTTTTAAGTTGCTTTTCTTCTCTAATATGCTGTTGATCTATCTTTAAATATTCTTTTTCCTCTTTTTTTTTGCTTGCGAATTTCTTGCTTCTGTACCTTTTCCATCTTCTGTACTATTCATTTCTGGATAGCTACCTCTTTTTTTTCTTTTTTTGTTAGCCACTCTTTCGCCTCCTTTTTCGCTTACTTCAATGAACGTAAAGACTCTTCATTAGTAAAGAGCTAAGTGAAGAGTATAGTCTTTTGTTTTTTCTTGGGTTGCTGAGTTTCGGGTTGCTTTCCATTTGCCTTTAGATCTGCTATCTGCTTCAAATAATAGTGCGAAGAATACTTAAACACCAGCTGCAAAAGACTAGTACCAGAATTTTTAAAGAGCTCTAGTTCTGTTTCCAAATGTTCAACCTTTTTATTAAGTGCATTTATTTCTGACTATAGTTTTTCATTTGTAGAGATCAGGCTGATGTAACTTGGAATGTAGCTAGGTGAAGAAGAAGAAGTTAGTATAACAAGCAGATGAGTGGGTTGTTCAGG